TGTTAAAGATTAGGATGCTCAGAAAAACACACTCCCTTTCAGCGTTCATTAAAACAAGAGTCTTGCTGTTTATGCAGACATATACATCTTTCTGAACATTGTTATTGTTATTTATTTTTAAAGCACTGAATATCTCTTTCTGCCTCCTCTTCTACTTCTTCAATAATCTAGCAGACGTCATGCCGCAATAAATTCATCACACCTTCACGGCGCCACAAAACTCAGCCCTCTCTCCCCCATATTTTTTTAAGCAAACCCTTGAACAAGTTATAAGCCCGGTTTGCTTTCGAGGTCAAGCCTACGGAAGATAGTACAGAGATCCCAGTCAAGAGAAACCTTTCTCCAACCGTTCCACAAACAGAAAAGGAACGGCAAGAAAAGCTTCCATTAAAAAAGGGGGGGGAGGAAACCACCCGTAATTCTGAAGGGAGCCGCAAATCGTAATGGGACGTAGGGTCATTCCGTTTTATGGCGCGACTTCGTTTATGAAAGAAGAAAACTCGAGAATCAAAAGGCCCATCCATCAAGTCCACTTGACAAGGAAATAGCTGAAGAGTTGAAGGTGGTCAGGGGACCATTTCACCGCAACACCTAAAGAGAAATTTCCCAGCGGAGAGAGTGGTTAAGAGTCTCTCAATCTAAGCTCCAAATTCATTGGCGCCACAGCCTTCTAAAGTTACTCTTCTCAGCCCCACCCCACCCCCCAAAAAAACAGTTCCTCCACCTCCTTCCTCTACTCCACATCACCAGATTCATAGAAGAGGGCTTTTTAAAAAGGTCACTCATCAAGTTGTTCAGACCTCAATCAAGCATCACCAAATATATCCTCTCACATGCCCAGAGGCTTAAAAAGCTAACACTTTTGGGTTATGGTGTCAGCTTCAAGCCAGTGTTTCTAGGGTTCCCTCTGGCATGAGGGGATACCCTAGACCCCTCCCCAGAATTTTCAGCTTTTATTTAAGTGCAGGCACAAAAAACAAGTCATTGCAACCTTTCTTTATAGGGGAGTCCCAATTAAGCAATTCATTTTAATATTGCTTATGCTTAGCATTGTACTGGCTTCTGGTCTGTAACCTAGAGAGTCATCACCAATTAGATGGACCAGTGGTCTGACACTGTATAAGACACCTTCCTAACATCCTACTTGTATAAGCCAGCTATTCAAAACCATGAGGACTGGAATCTCACTTTATATTTAGGGGAAGGACTGTAGTTTGTGGTAGAGCACCTGCTTTGCATTCAGAAGGTCCCAGGTTCAATCCTCGTCATCTCCAAGTGAGAGTAGGAAAGCCTCCCTGCAAAAACCATGGAGAGCTGCTGCCAGTCAGTGTAGACAATACCAAGCTATATGGGCCAATATGGGTCTGATTCTATATGGCAGCTTCCTAAGTTCTTGTGCTGGGCAATGATCTCAGGGTAGAAGGAGAAATCAGGGTGCTATAAATTTACAGGAGGGAGGGTGACAGAAGAAAGACCTTGTCCAAAGGCAGACTTCTGTAAAGGCTTAACTCACCCCCACCCCTTTTTCAGAAGCATCCAGGAGTTGAAAAACATTATCAACAACTTCAGGGTCTTTTTTTAAAAAAAGAAAAAAAGTATATGTGGCACAGGGGGAAACAGAAAGAATTTAGCACAAAACTTTTAAAAGCTCCCAATTACTCTCCAGGGTAGTCATTAGAAACTACTTAGGTGACAGGAAGGCGATATCTAAGTTAATGCAGCAATAAATTAGCTCTCTTCTACCCCTCCACCCCCTCCACCCATCCTCCCTTCCCCTCGTCGTTTTGGAGCAAAGCTGCAAGTGACAGAGAAATCAGTGGGGAAGATTTTAATTCTTTTTTTTTTTTTAAATGCTTAAAAGTTAATGGATGTCCTGTTTCCAGTTCCGTAGGTGGATGTCATTCTGAGAGATCACTGTGTTATCCCATTTAATTAGATCCATCTTAAGGCATTTGAAATAATTTTGATACGCACAGTGACGTGCAGGAGGTTCTCTGAAGCCCCAGCGCAATGGGGCAGTCAGTCAGTGATGGGCTACACATCCCGGAGCCCCTTTGAAATATTGGCCTGTCATTGGTAGTTAGTGGGAGACTTCCCAGGATCCAGGATTCCATGGCCAGGTTCAAATGCAATGCTCCCAGTCCAACAAACTATAGTTTGCTTATGCACATGTGAAGTAAGCTCCTGTGTAAGGTAAAGGGACCCCTGACCATTAGGTCCAGTCGTGACCGACTCTGGGGTTGCAGCACTCATCTCGCTTTATTGGCCGAGGGAGCTGGCGTACAGCTTCCGGGTCATGTGGCCAGCAGGACTAAGCCGCTTCTGGCGAACCAGAACAGCACACGGAAATGCCGTTTACCTTCCCGCCGGAGTGGTACCTATTTATCTACTTGCACTTTGACTTGCTTTTGAACTGCTAGGTGGGCAGGAGCAGGGACCAAGCAATGGGAGCTCACCCCGTCGTGGGGATTCGAACCGCCAACCTTCTGATCAGCAAGTCCTAGGCTCTGTGGTTTAACCCACAGCGCCACCCACATCCCACCAAGCTCCTGTGTAGCCTTCCCCAAATACTTCCTGTTTGCTAAAGAAGAGCTTCTTGTGATGCTTATACTGGGAAACTGTGGTCTGACTGCTCCCTACAAAACCCAGATCAAAAGTTTTGGGAAAACCTTTGCGCTCTCAAGGGCCACATTCTATTGAAGGCAATCTGTTGGGGGCCGCATGCTGGCAGTGGGTAGAGCAGACCTTTCTCTCTGCCACTTCCTTCCTTGTCTGTTTCTGATGCTCCCTTCTCACCCTCTTGGTCTGAAGGAGGTCTGGGTCTGGTCAAAGCATGGATAGGGATCACACATATGTTGCCCTTGGGTTCCATGAAGGAGAAAAGTTGGGGTGTAAATGTCAGGAAATAAGTACTTAATGTCCAACGGCCACTTGGGAATCTTTTTCTTCCCCCATCCTCACAAGAGCTCTGAGAGGAATGCCAGCATTAATTCTGTAATGATAGTGATGCTTTCTTAGATGGAAGCTAACCAAAGCCTGGGCAACAGAGGTCGACTCGCTCCCCAGCCGTGCACCCCAGGTGCCCTACACACAAATGCAACACAAAACCACACCCGCTTTCAGCACATTCATGCAAAACGTTCCAATTCACATACTTTATTCTGATCCGTAAATAATTCCAGATGTTTTATGGATCGCAGCATCCCACTCTCTTGCCACCAGAATCAAGAGTATATACACAAGCTATCCTCTCTGCCTGGTCTTAGCAATTTCTGCTATATATAAATTATTCCATACGTATTATGTACCTATATAAAGCTACGGAGTGGGGGTTTTTTTTTCTGGTTGGCTCTGCAGAAGAACCACAAAGCCCCTCGGGGGTTGGGGGGAGGGATGCAGGAAGCCAACATTCATTATTAGCAAATCTGAAAGCCATGCAAAGTTCGGGATGAATAATTACACCATGAAAGAGCTCCACTTTCCAATTATCTTGCCCACGCCGATCTCTTTGAAGTTGATTATGTAAGCCAGCACCAGATAATGACGTTTTCTGGTGAATTTCATAACGGGAGGTACGCACAGATTGCATGAAATTGTAACGGGGACAGGATAATGAATACAAGTGATCATTTGTGTAAAGCATCCAAAATGTGTAAGGGGGGGGGAGAGTTAAGGATGGGTCCTAGACATGATGGCTTTTGTGGCAGAAATTGCAAGATGCATAATCCCAGTTCGGGAAAATACATATGGATGATAAATGTGCAACTGATAACTGTGTAGAACCTGTAGCCCTACAGATGTTGCTGAACTGAGTAAGAACATAAGAAGCGCTTGCTGGATCAGGCCAATGGCCCATCTAGTCCAGCGTCCTATTCTCACAGTGGCCAACCAGATGCCTGTGGGCACTCACCCATCCTGTGGCTTCTATTCAGAAGCATTTATTGCCTACGAACATAGAGGAAGAGCATAGTCACTGCGGCTAGCAGCCATTGATACCCTTATCCTCCATGAATTTGTCCAATCCTCTTTTAAAACCATGCAAGTTGGTGGCCTCCCATAGCAGCAAGTCCTATAATTTAACTATGTGCTACATGACAAATGATTTTCTTTTTGTCTTGCCTGAATCTTCCAACATTCAGCTTCATTCGATGTCTGCGGGTTCTGGTGTTATGAGAGAGAGGGGAAACATTTCTCCTTGCCACACATAATTTTATATACTCCTGTAAAATTATACAGTTTTCTCTAAACTAAAGTAAAAACAGTCCCCAAAGCTGCAGCATTTCTTCATAGGCCATCTAGTCATGCTGTCTGGGGCTGATGGGAGTTGTAGTTCATAGAATCACAGAATCATGGAATTGTAGAGTTGAAAGGGATCCTGAGAATCATCTGCTCCAACTTCTGCAATGCAGGAATCACAATGAAATAATTCCTGACAGATATCCACCCCACTTCTTTTTTAAAACTTCCAGTGAAGGCAGGTCCACCACCTTCCGATTCCATGGTCAGACTGCTCTTACTATCAGAATGTTCTCCCTAACGTTTAGGCTCAAGCTCCTTTCTTGTCATTTCAATCCACTGGTTTGGATCTTACCCTTTGGAGCAGCAGAAAATAAGCTTGCTCCATCTTCCATGTGACAGCTCTTTAGATATCTGAAGATATCTAGCCACCAAACTTGTTCTATGTCATTTCCATGGCACCAGAATGGATCTACTCAGGGGGAAACTGCCGTTGGCTGAGTCTGAGTGACAAAAGAGAATGTAAATTAAAATAACCAAAGCAGAGACTTCCAACTTTGCATGAGTAGTTAATCTTCTGTGAAAGGGGGGACTTGTACTTCCCCATGAGAAGAGTATCTGGTGGAACTTTGCTAAACACGGAAAGGCTCTGCATACGTAGGAAGCTGCCTTCTACCAAGTCAGATCATTGGTCCAACAAGCTCAGTACTTGTCTACACTGACTGGCTCCAGCATTTCAGACTGGGGACAGACCTCACCATCCCTGGAGATGCCAAGGATTGAACCAGAAGCACTGTGCATGGGAAACAAATGCTCTACCACAGAGCTACAGTCCTTCCCCAGGCTGAGCATGTTGCTACATGAGGGGTAAAGTGACACTGTGGTCTAAACCACTGAACCTCTTGGGGTTGCCGATTGGAAGGCTGGCAGTTCAAATCCATGTGACGAAGTGAGCTCCTGTTGCTCTGGCCCAGCTCCTGCCAACCTAGCAGCTCGAAAGCATGCCAGTGCAAGTAGATCAATAGGTACTGCTGCAGCGGGAAGGTAAATGGTGTTTCCATGTGCTCTGGCACTTGTCATGGTCCTCCATGCACCAATAGCGGTTTAGTCATGCTGGCCACGTGACCCGGAAAACTGTCTGTGGACAAACACTGGCTCCCTCAGCCTGAAAAGTGAGATGAGTGCCACACCCCATAGTCCCCTTTCACTGGAATTAACTGTCCAGACGTCCTTTACCTTGTTACATTTTTACATGAGGGGTTGGCTGCTTTGGTCAAAGAACATTCCTTTCTCCAAAATCTGGGGGGGGAAATAAAAAAATAGAGCAACTCTGCCTGCTCTGCTCCCAGTTCCTTGCCAAGGAACAAAAAGGTGAGCTTCTGCTTACAGTTATAGGGGGTGTAAATCTGAGCCTATCTCCCTGATTCCCAAGAGCTGCAAAAAGATTTTAAAATCAGCCATGAACTGTTATTCTGCTTGCTTCAGCGTGTGCTTTTTTCCCTTTTGCTGCTTGAAAAAAAAAGATCCCAGCCATGATCAAAATGACTCATAGGACCTCAACGCCCACATGTTTTAACCTCAGGGAATAAAGAGAACAGAAGGCCGGAAGACCAAGGGAAAAAATTGAGGGTGGTGATGATGGAGGGGGGGGGAAGAACGATGATCAAACAGCTTGCAAAACCCATCCTAACAAAAGGAGAAGTGCTGTGACTCAAAGGTAGAGGCTTTGCATTCAGAAGGTCCCTGGTTCAATACCCAGCACCTCCAGTTAGGACTAGGAAAATATGCCTGAAATGCTGATAAGCCACTGCCAGTCATTGTAGACCAGGGGTCCTCAAACTAAGGCCTGCAGGCCGGATCTGGCCCGCCAGCCTTATAAATCCAGCCCGCCAGCCAAAACACCACGCCAGGTTTACCTCAGCGCACGGGCAATGACTGAGCAGGTGGCGAGGCGTCTGATTGGCTACAGGAAGCTTCTGCAGCCAACTGGAAGCCTCGCCACTCACTCAGTCAGTCCCCACGCAGCAATTTAAACCCGGCATGGCGAGGTGTTTCCATGGAAAAGAACGCAGGTGCGCTTGCTTAGCTCCTTCAGCCCGTTGCCCTTCACGCACGCTAGCGCCCGCCGCAGCGGTGATGTCAGGATGCAGAAGTGGGCGATGCCATTTGGAATTTTGGCACGAGCACGCAAACCGGGCATTGAGGGGATTTGCATGCACGCACTGGGCAGAACACACACCTGAGGGAAGGAAGCAAAGAAAAAAGGGAGGCTGCTGTATCCGGGAACTCTTGGACGGGTGGAACAAAGCAATTCGCTCACACGCAGGTAAACACAAGCTCTTGCTCTCTGGGAATCCAAGGAAATTTGAAATAAAGAGAGAAAGAGTGGAGAGTGGTAATGCGCCGGCGCTTTTGTGTTTCCTCACTGGCAGCAGTGGAGTGGGGAGGGTGTGGTGTTGATATCGCCAACTTTGGGCAGGGGAAAAGGCCGCCCTCCCTCCCCTCCACCTGAGGTGAATTTCATTCTTTGTTTGTAATATTGTATTGTTTTTCCTGTTTTTTGTGTACAGTGGTACCTCGGGTTACATATGCTTCAGGTTACATCCGCTTCACGTTACAGACTCTGCTAACCCAGAAATCGTGCTTCAGGTTAAGAACTTTGCTTCAGGATGAGAACAGAAGTCATGCTCCACTGGTGCGGCAGCAGCTGGAGGCCCCATTAGCTAAAGTGGTGCTTCAGGTTAAGAACAGTTTCAGGTTAAGAATGGACCTCTGGAATGAATTAAGTACTTAACCCGAGGTGCCACTGTACTACAAATAAAATATGTGCTGTGTGCATAGGAATTCGTTCATATGTTTTTCAAAATATAGTCCAGCCCCCAAAAGTGTCTGAGGGACAGTGAACCGGCCCCCTGTTTTAAAAGTTTGAGGACTCCTGGTGTAGACCAGTACTGAGCCAGATGGAGCAATGCTTTGACTCGGTATAAGGCAGCTTTTCATGTATCTTATCCCTCCACAGGCCTGGAGAAAAGAAGTTGTCCCTTCACCTGCCAACAAAAACCTAACCTCCCTTCACCATGGACCTTGCTAGGCACAGGAACTACTAACAGGGCTTCCCAGCAGCAGTCAAGGAACAGGCAAGTGAATACATGGGGAGATGTCCTTTCAGCTTTCCTATGCGGAAAGGTTAAAATATTGGGGGCTTTTCAGTTTAAAGAAAAGGCGAGGAACAGAAGGCACAAGACAGTGTATAAAATGATGTATGGTGTGGAGAAAGCTGACAGTGAAGCCTTTGCCTTTCTCTTGCAACACTAGAAGCCAACTGAGCCATCCAACGAAGCCAAATGCTGGAAGATTCAAGACAGGCAAAAGGCAGTAGTGATGGCCACCATCTTTGATGGTTTTAAAAGGCTTTCATAGAAATTCATGAAGGAAAAGGCTACCAATGGCTACTAACCATGATGGCTATGTATATCCTCCACTGTCAGAGGCATTATGCCTCAAAATGCCTGTTGCTGGGAATCATAAGGCAGTTGTGCTGGTGGGAGTCCCACAGGGATATCCGAATGGCCGCTGTGACTAGATGGGCCACTGGCCTGATCCAGCAGGGCTCTTCATATGTTCCTATATTTGGGGCCTAAAGTCACATAGGGCTTTAAATTTCATCACAGCTGCCTTAGATTGGGTCCATAAACCAATACTTGATTCACTTGAGGCCTGAGAAGGAGGAGGAGGAGGAAGAGTTTGAGAAATCACCCTTGTTTTCGGAAACAGAAAATGAGAGGCAGTGTTATACGTAGCCCGTATAAACATTTCTTCTCAAAATCTCATTTCACAGTGGACGGAATGAGGAGGCCTGACCTTCACACCCACTTGAATGACCCTGGAGTTCATTCAGCTTTTGTCACAGTACATGTTAGTACTTGGTCACCATGGCAACCCAACTTCCTCCTCACAGATGGCTTCCATTGCTTAAAACCATACAGGTGTCACCGGTCCGTCCGGAGGAAAACAACCCAAATAATGACCTTGAATGGCTTTACTGGTTTTAAATAAATATGGAAGTGCTTCCTTCAGCGGAAATTAGACCTAGCAACAGAGGCTCTCGAGCATCAATATTACTCCAAATATTTAACATATGGAAGAGTGAATGAAACAATAAGTTATAATTCCTAGTCTTTAAAATAATAATAATAAATGAGATATATGCACACTCTTCTGAGCAAATACCAAGATGAAAAAATACAAAAGTACTGTAATAATACATAATGAAAAATTCAATAAATATTATAATAAAAAGAGATATATGCATACTCCTTGCTATGTCTTTTAATAGAGTTTGCCAAAGTTGCTATTATTATTATTATTATTATTATTATTATTACTTTTCCCAAACTGACACACAAATTAGAACACAGATTAAATACAAAAAGGGGGAAACATATTGTGTACAAGGTAACTGTAAAAAGGTAATTAATATAATTAAAACAATATTAACAACTCTATTATGATGATGAAAAACCTAGAGGTAGCTTGAAGATTTACAGCATGAAGTGAGTGTGTGTGTGTGTTGTCTAAGTAATGTCAAGAACGTAAGATTTGCTGCTGAATATCAGATGAAGGGTCTAATTTGACATTCTATTTGCAATGAATAGCCCAGACTGGGAGCTGACAGACATGGCAGAAAGGGCAAAAGCTCTACATTGCCCACTATGATACCACTTTAAATGGTCTTGGCTTTTCCCCAAATAATGCTGGGAACTATAGTTTGCTGAGGATGCCAATAGTTACTAAGAGACCCCTATTCCCCTCACAGAGCTATAATTCCGAGGGTGGTTTATCAAATCAATCCCTCTTCCCAGGGGACTAAAAATTATAAAATGCCGGGACAAATGGGAAGTATGTGGTGGTGGCACCAGCCATTTGGCCTTAGGGAGGGAATTATAAATTCAAAACAAGGGTGCTGTCCACGGTAGAAAAATAACGTATCTCTACTGAAGAGGCTACACGGAAGGGAAGGGAAGGGAAGGGAAGGGAAGGGAAGGGAAGGGAAGGGGCTCAGTGGCAGAGCATCTGCTTTGCAATGAGAAGGTCCCATGTTCAATCCCTGGCAACCCAAGAGAGCCAATGCTGGTGCAGATATAATACTGAGCTAGATGGATCAATGGCCTAACTGAGCTAGCTGGATCAACACTCTGACTCAGTACAATGCAGCTTCCTGCGTTCTGTACGTTACAGCTTACGTCACACTGAATGGGAATGGCCTGGGTTTCAGGTAGACACCTTTCCCATTATTTCTTCCCTGATCTGCCAGGGATACTTTTGACACGTAAAGCCTGTACTCTACCAATGAGCTATGGCCCACCTCAGAGCTGCCAAAACAACAGCCATACATGCATTGTTTGGTTCAAGAGTGCTGGAGTTCAGCACAGGTAACAAGAACCTGCACCGACTGTTTTTGAGAAGGCTCTGCTGTCTTGTGAGAGATAATATTTGAGCTTCATCTTGCTAGATAGGCACCACATGCTCAGGTTAAAAAAAAGGGGGGTATATACTGAGAGCAAAACCTACCATTAAAACTATTATTGCAAAGTAGCAGGTGTGATTGCAGCAATTATGCGAACGATTTCAAGGGGCAAAGCACAGCACTGCAAAAAGCAGATGCAAATGGAGGTAGCTGAAAGGGGAAAGCGGCAATGACTTTTGAGATCTTTTGCTCCTGAGTGCAATTTGCTCCCCTGTCAGGCAGCCACGGGACAAGTGGCCAACCTCATGGTTACAAATTTGCCCATTTGAGGATCTGACCATCCTTTGCATTCAACGGACAGCCTGTGGCTGT